TCGCCGCTTGGGGGTGGGGGGGGGGTGGGGGGGGGGGCAGGCATGAGGACGCCACCGCGTGCTTGGGCGCGGGACCACTGTGGGGACGCCAAAGACCGCTCGGAGCGAAGGCAAGGCGGCGAGTGCCGTTGCGACAAACGACGAGGCAAAAAGAGCGCCACGCGAGAACACTGAAGAACTTGAAGGCCGCGAGAGCCCGCGAACGGACTCGAGAAGTCCGAGACGGGAGCGCCGGAAGGCGAGAACACAACAAGACCAAAGGAGAGGAGGAAACAAGAAACGGCAAGATCATCGGCAATTAGCGCTCAGTCAATGCTCGTTAACACACACACACACACTTGTGCAAAACGTCACGAAAAGCAAAGGAACCTTGTGCACACGGTAGAAGACATGCACGAGCGCGCGCAGTCATGCAGATAAGGGTGACGACAGTTCGCGTTTCAAAAGTGCCACGGGAAAAGCCATCGGACAAAGCGTGCGCCTCATGAACACAAAGACCCGTCGTTGGCCGTCTCCGAGTGTCTGCGCGCGCGCATTTGCGCTGGATTTCATCCAATGAACACAACATCAATCAAACTTGAAACATTGTACCACGTGTCTTCGTCTAAATGCTAATGCGCTCAAGTGTGTGTGTGTGTGTGTGTGTGGTGGATTACGCTTCCTCACGGGATTGATCCTGTTATGCAAGACATGCTTGCATCCTGCAGCACAAACGTCTTTAATTACTTTGCGGCGAGCTCCTCGGCGGTGACGCAGTTCAGGGCACAAATGACGCTCGAAAACGACAACACGAGGAAAACAAGGACGCGAGAGCGCAAGGAGGCGAGGAAGCGAGGGGATGGACGCCGACAATCGGAGAGCAGATGCAAATGGCGCCCCCCCCCCTGAGGCCGCATGTCTCGCGTGTGCGGCCAAGTCCTGATGCGCGCGAGTGCCGGGAGGAGCTTCGAGTCACGTCGCCGTGTTGTCAGCAAAACGCAACATTCGGCTTTAAAGCGGGGGGGGGGGGGGGGGGGTGAGGAAGCGAGGGGATGGACGCCGACAATCGGAGAGCAGATGCAAATGGCGCCCCCCCCCCTGAGGCCGCATGTCTCGCGTGTGCGGCCAAGTCCTGATGCGCGCGAGTGCCGGGAGGAGCTTCGAGTCACGTCGCCGTGTTGTCAGCAAAACGCAACATTCGGCTTTAAAGCGGGGGGGGGGGGGGGGGGGGGCGCGGGGTG